AGCCCAACATGTCACACACACTTCCTTATAGTTCAATATGGGCCCTTTGGACACGAGTATCTAGGGATCCACATACTTCATAGGACATTGCTCCGAAGGTGAAGAAAGCCCATGAGCTCCAGAATATTCTGTGGGGGCAACTGTGAACACTGGATGCCACTTAAAAATACCAAGGGAAACATTTGAATAAAACAAATGCTCTCTGCCTGGATTTCTGCTTCGAAAATATTAACCAACACTTGTTTCCTCTCTAGCCTCGGGCACTCCTGCCAGAGGTAAACTGTTCCATGGAAATGTCTGAGCCATTGCTTCATCTATAGGTGTAAAATGACCCATACTGCATGGGCTCCAAGCTTTCACATAGCCCGTCAGTGAAGTAAGAGGAAAGAGACAGACACTAAGACTCACGTGTACACAGTGAAACACAACAGCTTTATTAGCAAATACAGTCCTCCAATCAGTGTGGGAAGAGGGGATCTACAAGGCACTCATGAAGCAGATGAGTTCTAAATGGGCCTTGAAAGACTGGAGGGACAGCAGAGGCTGGGGCTTCGGGAGAGCCTCCAGGCTCTAAAACGGGTGACCAGTGAACAATGTGTGTCACAAGAGGAAAACAATAGGGATCTGGTCAACCCTTAATTCCGGGGATAGGCAGGGGCCAGTGAGGATGTTGGAGCTGGGTGGCAGGGAGCACCCAGGGGTGGCAGGGATAGGGTGGGCTCATTCAGACAGGGGCGGGGCAGGCAGGTGGAGAATTTCTGCACTAGCAGGGGTGAGTCCAGGCTTCAGAATATGGTCAAATGCAGCGAAATCAGTGTGCTCTGGGCTGATGGTTACATCTGAACGAGGGACCCATGGGATTAAAATGGCCACCGCCAGACTACCCAACACACATTCCCCGCCCTTCCAGCTAGTCTGACTCATTGCTGTTTCTTTAATTGTCGGAAATTAGAGGGGAAGGGACGGCTGTGAGTAGGCTGGATGTGTGCTGTCATCCTCTGCCTCAGAAGCTGCTAATCCCTGTGCTTGCTGCTCAATAGCTAGGCAGTGACCCATCCCTGGGCATCGTTCTGCCATACTGCAGGTCTCACTTTACTCTGGAGTGTCAGCAGATAAAACCCCAGCCATGATTTCTACTGTGGCTCATATATAACTGTCACATTAATCTCTCAGATGAGTCCCAAATTGTGTCATGAGCTGACACATTCACTCATTTGCTCTGTGGCCCCCTTGGTTGATTGTAGGAGCCACTAGGCAGCTCTGTAGTTGGCTCATGGATACAGGCGACTCAAGGTCATGACCTCACCCAGGAGCTCAGCAGCACTATTGGGACTTTAGAATTCTTTTTTTTTTTTTTTAAAGGGGGACTTTAGAATTCTAAGTACCCACATCTTCCTTGCAATTTGAATGCATCCCTATTGGGGCTGATTAGCTGCAGTTGGAACTAGCATCATGAATGCATGAGATGGCAAATGTTCCTTCTACTGTCAGGACTGCGGAAGCCCAGCCTTTCTAACATGCGGAAACAGTAGCTGCGTGATGCTACAATTCCGTTTATTGACACAGCTCAGTGGAGAAGGTGCTTTGCCTCCTAAGTGTCTCTGGTGTCATTTCTAGTGTGTTTTTAAATGCATCTCATTTGCCTACTTTCCTCACCATTTCCCTCACACACACACTGCCACCTTAGCCTCAGAGGCATCTTCAGCTGTTACACAGCTTTGCTGGCCACTGTCCTCTCCTAGTAGTGCCCCCATGTTCTCACCCTCTGCTCACAGGTTTCACTAAGGAGAGCTCCCTTTGGGAAGTGCAGATGGGTGTGTTCTTCACACAGGCCTGATAACTGTGAGCATGCAGCTGGAAGACGTGCAGGATACTCAAGGTCATGACCCACCCCAGGAGTTTCACAGTCACTCAACGAGCCAGAATGCCGAGGGAAAGATGGGGATAGCCTCTGTTCCTGGGGGGTGGGGAGAGGCAGGGAAGGTAGTGAGCCTGGCTTCAGGCAACTCCAACCCCGAGGCACCCAGACTCTTGCTGTCCAAGCCTGCCTGCCCTTCATCCTGTTTCCCTGCAGAAGATCGGGCCCAGAGACAAGAGAGCTAGTGGCTAGAACAGAGGCCTTCATTTGAGCCTCCTGACACTTCTGCGTGGATCTGTGACACAGGATGGCATTGCATGATATAATCCTGGTAGCACCAGGGAAAAGGAACCTGAGACTAATAGGTCAGTAAGGTGCAAAGTCATGTGGGCCTCAGTGGTCGTTCAGTGTCGGGAGACCAGACTTTTGACTGATAATCTGATGTCCATTAACCTCTTCATGGTCTCTTCCAGACTGCAGAAGGTAGACTGTGTGAGCTGAGCCAAGTTTTAAGGGCTTCATGTTGTAGGCTTTGGGAATCTACCCAGGGTCGAGTAACTGCACCTCTCAGCCCCCCTTACTTTCAGGTGTTCCTGGAAGAAGCCTCCTTTCCCACAGCAGACAGAATGTAAGGTCTCAGGTGCACACTGCTATTGTATGAATGGTAAACTCTGGGAGGATGTGTGAGCGGCTCAGTCAGTCTCCACACACACGTGCTGATGTCTCCATGTAGTTTAGACAGCCCAGGGAAGACAGAACCCTGCAGGACAGAAGAGATGACTCAGCCCATTTTCTACCCTCTCCAGGAGATGTAAAGTTATGCTTTATACCTAACCATGGAGGTGTAGACGTGAGGCCCCAGAGCATGGAACCTGAGTGGGGAGGATGTGGGCTGGCAGACAAGCCTTCCAGTCACGGACATTCTGCCTGGTCTTGAAGGAGGTCTGGCAGGTTGCCAGATGAGAAGGAGCTAAGTTGCCAGGAAGAGGAAACAAGGCACATATAGTGTGGAAGGTGGCTGAGCAAACCTTGCTCGGAGCAGGGGGCAGTTGGCCCTGGTTGGAAGGAAGCTGGAAACTGGATGGGATTCAGTGTACAGAGGTCTTGATGGTAAAAGATTTTCCGACAGCATGAGCTCATCTGGGCTGGTTTAAAAATAGCTCCTGCACAAGATGGAGACTGCATTCCAGGAGCGGAGGCCAGGCAGCTTGCTCCTTCGCTGCTGCTCTGTTGGCTGCTTCTGCGGGGGGCAGGAGAACAAGGGCACCACAGCAGAGAGGTATCCATCCCATCCACTCAGCTGAGCATGTGCTGTGCCCCATTTAGGAAAGAATAGGGGGGTAAAACACAGGCAGCCTGACAGTGTATCCGTTACTTTTCTGTTGCTGTGATTAGAACACCATGCATCTTATAGAAGAAAGCAACAGTCTCCAGGAAAGACAAAGTCGTGCTCAGAGGGGATGAACTGTCTTTAACTTTGGTCAGGTCTCTGATGTTGGGCGCTTTTGCATTTCATGCACTTTGCTTGAGTATTCTGTCGATTCTTCTCATTTCTGATAGAGACCAATTTAAAATAGTTCCTTATTAGACCCCAGGAACATCCGCCCACCCCTCACTGCCTACCTATTGAGCAGCAAGCACAGGGATTAGCAGCTTCTGAGGCAGAGGATGACAGCACACATCCAGCCTACTCACAGCTGTCCCTTCCCCTCTAATTTCCGACAATTAAAGAAACAGCAATGAGTCAGACTAGCTGGAGGGGCGGGGAATGTGTGTTGGGTAGTCTGGCGGTGGCCATTTTAATCCCATGGGTCCCTCATTCAGATGTAACCATCAGCCCAGAGCACACTGATTTCGCTGCATTTGACCATATTCTGAAGCCTGGACTCACCCCTGCTAGTGCAGAAATTCTCCACCTGCCTGCCCCGCCCCTGTCTGAATGAGCCCACCCTATCCCTGCCACCCCTGGGTGCTCCCTGCCACCCAGCTCCAACATCCTCACTGGCCCCTGCCTATCCCCGGAATTAAGGATTGACCAGTTCCCTATTGTTTTCCTCTTGTGACACACATTGTTCACTGGTCACCCGTTTTAGAGCCTGGAGGCTCTCCCGAAGCCCCAGCCTCTGCTGTCCCTCCAGTCTTTCAAGGCCCATTTAGAACTCATCTGCTTCATGAGTGCCTTGTAGATCCCCTCTTCCCACACTGATTGGAGGACTGTATTTGCTAATAAAGCTGTTGTGTTTCACTGTGTACACGTGAGTCTTAGTGTCTGTCTCTTTCCTCTTACTTCACTGACGGGCTATGTGAAAGCTTGGAGCCCATGCAGTATGGGTCATTTTACACCTATAGATGAAGCAATGGCTCAGACATTTCCATGGAACAGTTTACCTCTGGCAGGAGTGCCCGAGGCTAGAGAGAGAAACAAGTGTTGGTTAATATTTTCGAAGCAGAAATCCAGGCAGAGAGCATTTGTTTTATTCAAATGTTTCCCTTGGTATTTTTAAGTGGCATCCAGTGTTCACAGTTGCCCCCAAAGAATATTCTGGAGCTCATGGGCTTTCTTCACCTTCGGAGCAAGGTCCTATGAAGTATGTGGATCCCTAGATACTCGTGTCCAAAGGGCCCATATTGAACTATAAGGAAGTGTGTGTGACATGTTGGGCTCACAATGCAGGCCTGAAGTACTTTTCAGGACTCTGAGAAGGGACTTATGTATAGAGCATGTGCCAAGTATACTTTGTGACAGAAACTTACTGAGTGAGCATACTCAAAGTCTAGCTTTTTCTCCTAAAGTGCTGTTTGGAAGCATGAATGGTAAGTGTCCTTTTGACTGCAGTGTTTAGGCAGTAGAGTCACAGGAGTGAAGATTCCCAGTAAAAAATCTGTATTAAAGACTTCCCAGGCAGCAGTTTTACCTCACACACACACAAGAAATAAAAATCAAAGGCATCCTGCCTAGCAGAGGAAGCAGAGCAGAGGGAGGGCCTCTCAGGGCTTCCCTTTGTAAAGTGTGTGTTTAGCAGTCACGGCTTGGCAGGTTAAACTAGGCGTTTTATCGTGGTAAGTAATATGTTTGCAATTAGCTCCGTTAGCCACCAGCCACGCAAGGTCTGCGATAACGCTGCTTCCCTGTGCTTTCCAGTTCTTCCCACAGAGGTCCCACTCTGCCAGTGCCGCCTGCCTGACTCCGCACGGCACCATTCTCCACCAGACTCTGGACTTCGACGAGTTCATCGCCCCCCTCCCGCCTCCACCCTATTACCCTCCAGAATACACCTGTACACCCACAGCGGAGGCCCACAGGTCAGTGTTCCTCGACGTGTCCTGTGTCCCCTGGTGTGTGAGAAGCTGCAGACAGGAAGCATCTTTGGGAGGAGGAAGTTGTGATGGCAGAGGAGAGAGAGGTGCAGAGTGGAACAGAAGAAAAACCAGTACAGCAGTATGCACCTCACAGGGATAGGAAGTAAAGAAAGGAGATGGGACCTAGAAATACAGTTCTTTCTTTTATTTTTGTTCTTTGGGGTTTGGGTGGCTGTGATGAGTCAATTGTGTTCCACTTTTATTTTTTTGTTGTTGACAGGGCCTCATTGTACAGCCCAGGGTGGCTTTGAACTCTCCATGTAGCCCCAAATGGCCTCATACTTATGACGCTCCTGTCTCGGTGTCTCAAGTACTGGAATTACAGGCGAGCACCACAAGGCCTGACGGAATAGCAGATTTCTGTCGAGGTCTTTGCAGTGTTACCTAAATGGCACCATAGGCTGGGGCTGGAGTCAGCAGCCTGCTGTGTAGGCCAGGCTCTGTGGTATGCTTACATGTGCAAAGTTGCCCCTGAGTGACAGTCACCACCGAGCGTGGAACATTAATTAGAAATTTCATCAGCTTTGTCATTGATTTAATTATAATAGACAGAGCTTAAGTGTTCAGTGAAATATGAGCATCTTTCAGAAGAAAGACAGAAGTTAAACCTGCTCAGTGAGTCAGGCTCTTATTTTTCAACGGGACAAGTGTTAGACAGTCGATACTTGGAGAGAAATGTCAGACCCTGGCCTGGGCCCTCAGGGGCTGACCATGTTCTGTTTTCTAGGGGCCTCCACCTGGACTTCGCTCCCTCTCCCTTCAGCACTCTGTACGACGTTGCCATCAACAGCCCTGGCATGCTGTACCCTGCTGAGCTGCCCCCACCGTACGAGGCCGTGGTGGGTCAGACTCCCGCCAGCCAGGTGAGACTCGGGCCCTGACAAGACCGGCTTTTATGTATACCCCACTTCCTAGCCTGTCCTCAGAAAGCTCCCAGACAAGTGTTGGCTGTGTCACAGACCCAGCGACTGCCCTGTGATGAAGCCTGGGCATGTCCTGGGCAATGTGTGAGCCTTACAGAAACTGCAGGATGCTGATTCCAGCTGCAGCCTGGGCACATCACTATGTGAACTTGCCCTTGGGATACTCAACCTAATTGCTGCAGCCAGACCCAGCCTAAGTCAGATGTGCCTGTGTTCCATGCTGCCCAGTGTGTCTGGAGAGAACAGAAGGAACCAGGACAGCTTCTAACCTGTGACCCGAGCAGGGGGTGCTGAGCTTGTGGACAAAGGACTCAGGGGACCAAGACCTGTCTTAGCCATGGCTGTAGACATGATCTGATGGAGCTGTAAGAGGCCAGGCGGCCCCAGACCAGGGATGTGCCTCTGCTGCCAGCTACTTGGAAGCTTCTCTGAGCTGTGTGTGCCGGGGGCTCCTATTGCTCCATGGTCCCCAGCCATTAACAGGCATTTCGAGTATGTCTGTAAAGCCTTGGTTCCTTCTTCTGAAAAATGATGAGGGAAAAAAAAAAACACACATTAGTATCAAGCTCATAGGATGAAAGGAAATGGTGCTCTGCAATGTAAGCCTGGGAACATGGTAAATCCTGAATTCAGGAGACGTCTCTAGGCATATTTTGGTAGCATTTTTATCTTGGCCATTATTGTTGTTGTCTTTCTTGAGTGTGAAATCTCTAATCAGGCAGAAAGGTGAGGTCATGGGACCAGGGAGGTCTTAAGAGGAAGCGGTAGGGAATGAGCCAGAGGTGGGGACATGGTAGTCGGGTAGTACAAGTGTCGTGTGTTGAAAGCCTGCCCCAAGCACAAGTCACAGAGTTGGATAATACCACAACATGGAGGCTCTACAGGGCATTCCAGGTATGTCCACACTCTGCTCCCTTAGCCCCTGCTGCCTGACCCCTGGATGACAGCCCTGGCGAAAGGCTTAGACTTTTTGATATCCCCTCAAGCTCTGATCCTGCACCTTGGACATCAAAACGACCGGAAGAAGTGGAGGAGAGCCAGCTTTACTGGTGTTTACCTCAGCCACTGACAGGATATGGATCCCATGAAGAAGCTTTGTTTATGGAGTACTGCTTGGCCACTGTACCGGCTCAGCTTCATAAGCCTCAGAGATAAGCACAGCCATCAGGGTGGGTCACTTTCTGTAGGCTGAGTCAGGGGACAAGGAAAGGCAGCAGGGCACATGCACACTGTGATCCATGGCAAGGAAGCATGGACAGTGCTGTTCAGGCTGTTGGCATCAAAGGGAAAAGAAACATTTAGCCCAGGGATTCTCCCTCAGTATTGGGCCGGCCTGGTGAATCCCTCCTGCCCTGACATAACCAGAGAATCCTTGAGTAATGCCTTTGTGCCCACTCCAATCCTGAAATGCCCTGAGTGGCTTAGTGGCTATAGGTGGCACCTCCAGACCCAGGATCTTGGCCTCTTTTGTGTACATGGTAAAAGTCACGGTGTAGGAACTGCCTGAGAGGAAAGGGTGATTAGAGACTAGGTTAAGGCGAGATCCTGTCATCTCTCAGCTTGGACAGCCATTTGCCTAGACTGTCCAAGCTGAGCAGGAACCTCCGAGTTAGCAACGAGGTTTATCTTTCTGTTTATGATAAAAAAAATAGTGAAGATAATTATTGTGATGACCAGCCTTAGCTCTCAAAGGTTCCTAGCTTGTACTAGGGTATCCAGGGAGGATCTGGGGGCTCAGATTTAGTGATGTGAGGAAGTGTGCCTGATTAGAGATTTCACACTCAACAAAGACAACAACAATAATGGCCAAGATAAAAATGCTACCAAAATATGCCCAGAGACGTCTCCTGAATTCAGTATTTACCATGTTCTCAGGCTTACATTGGATAGCACCATTCCCTTTCATCCTATGAGCTTGATACTAATGTGGTTTCAATGGATTGTAGATCCCAGTGGGTATCCAAGTCCCACAAAACCTTGTCAACCAAATCCCAGTGTTGGGTCCACACCCAGGAGTTCCAAGTCAGTGGTTGGTTGGGGAAGGAGGGAGGGAGCGTGAGGAGTTTGCATTCCTAACAGCTCCCCACGCCTGTGGTTCCTGGGGCTCACTTTGACAACTGGAGCAGATCATTGTGGCAAGGTTTGTAATGCAGAGATGATAACATGATGGATCTTATAGGCAAATGTGGTACCGGGGCCTAGAAGGGTGGGAGGAAATATCACCAAACCCACATGGCAAGACCAAGAAGAGAGTGCATTAGGCCCAGAGCAAGGCCCTCCATGGATGTCAGAGAGCAGGAAGTCAAGAGGTGATGGGGGAAGGCAAATGGGCAGCTCCATTCTGGGAAGCAGGGACCCAGAAGTCATATCTGCAGTAGTTTGTCATTTCCTTGGTGCCTTGGGTGGGAGGCTCTGCCTTTTCCCACTCCTCGGCAAGCCTGCTAAAATTCCAGTTTCCTGCTGGGGAGCTACTTCTTTGCTTCCCTTTGTGAGGTGGTACTCATTTTCATAAGAGAGGGCTGGGTGGATGGATCACGATTCAATGGGCCCTTCCCTATGGACAAGACCAGGCCTGGGGCATTGCCCTGTCAGAGCCTTTGCTTCCCAGCAAGACCCTCTTTCCAGAAACCTCATGCTGGCTTCGCAAGGCCCTTGAGTGCAGATGTGGGCTGTTGCTGCAGACTTCGAGTGTGACATTTAGTACCCCCACCCCACATTGCACACTAGACAGGTATTGATTCATGTTTCATCACCAATTTTCTCTTTCCCCGAAGAGCACAATATATTTCAGGTTAATGTATGGTTCTGGGATCAATATGACACTGTTCTTCCAAGGCGCTGGAAAATTCTCCCTTCCGTGATTTTTCTCAGAGAACTTGGGTACGGAGGGCTAAAGGTCAAAGCTGTGTCATGTTAGTTTACGTTAGCTCAGAAACCTGCCACCCGCAGGGACTGGCACAAACTCAATCTGCTATGGAGCAGGCCAGGTACATGTGTCACATGTCCTGTGGCCCCTCTCCAGGCCACCTGTATAGCAGAGACACAGCTGGTGATTAAGGACGTGCAGCTCGCAGACCAATTTTCTTTGATGCTCAGGTGTCAGGGCACTTTTCAATTCCACAGACATCTCTGGGAGTCTGGAAGTGAGTGAAACCTATTACCATCCACAGAGGGAAGGCTGCGCCCGCCACCTGCCCCCTCCTGCAGGGTGGTCCATCTCCCTTGACCAGACGTCAAGGAGCTGCCCCCTTCACAGCGTGAGCATTTTCCCTGGGTGAGGGGGTGGTTAATTGCTTGCCCCTGCACAACAAAGGGTGTAAGAAATTGCCTATCAGCAGTGGTTAGAGCAGAGCAAACTACACAGAGGGACATGAGTGAAGTGGGGACACACAGGCAGTAAGGGAGTAAGAAATGGCAGCCGGCGGGAAGATTTTTTTTTTCCTGACACACCGTCGGTCTATGTTGTCCAGGCTGGCCGTGAACTCTCAGCCTCAATGGAGCTTTCATCTCCAGTCTCCAGAATAATTGAGATGCCAGGTGTGCCCCTGAGAGGATGTTTTTAGTCCTTTACCTGAGGATGCTCATTCAGACCTCTTCCCTTCCTTGATCAGCACATACTCCCTTCTGGCTTAGGTATGGATGTCATTCCATCCCACAGCTCCAGGCTGTGCTCCACAGCAAGATCACAGAGGTGAATCTCTAGCCATGGCAGCAAAGCTACTGAGAAGTTCTCACTTGACGTTCCTGCCTAGACACAAACTTACATTCCAGGGACCACTGGCGGCCGGGCTTCATAGCCACAGGATATAAAACCATGAGTCTACTGCCTCGTGGAGTTAATAACCCATGTGACGACAGCACAGCTCACCTCCCCTGGGACTTTAGGGAGAGAATCGTACCTGGCCATCTGGGTAGGACTGTAGCATGTGGGAAACAAGAAAGGTGGTCCAGGTGGAGAGTGCAGCATGCAGAGGTGAGGGGGTGGGGCAAAGTCTGCTGTAGTGCTCTAGGTACAGGTTTTCTGACCTTACACGTCTAACTGTGGAAGTGTCTTTGATAAATCCAGTGTCTAGGTTGACCTGACCCGGAAGTACTTGACCGGGTAGCAGTACAGCTAGGAAGGGAAGTCTAGTATGATACTAGAAGTTACAAGAAAGGAGATGGGCAGGCATGGTATCATCAGCTGTGAGTCTTATAAATTATATGTTTAAAGGAAATGACCCCTACATTTTAAAACTGGGGAGTGGAGTATTTCGAAGATGACTTTGAGTATATGAAACCCTCATTGACAGCTGATAATTAGCCCCAAACAGTGGCTTTTCATGAATCTGGTACTAGATGGTTGACCTCATCCAGGAGTGAGAAACACATCACAGAAATGAGGCAGAATTCCTGTGCAGGGTTCCCCACAGAGCCCGTCTGCCTAAATTCCAGTTGATCCTTCAGCTCCAATGGCTGGTCCAAGTAGCATCTCAGAACTAGCAAGTCCCAGGTTCGGGCCCTTCCCTAGTTTGCTTCTCTGCTGCTTTGATAAAGCATCATGACCAGGACAGCCTATAGAAGGACCGCTTTATTTGGCATACAGTTCCAGAGGGACAAGAGTCCATCATGGCAGGGAAACAGCAGGCTGGCAGCTGAAGTAGCAAGCAGAGAGCTCACATGTTGAACTGCAAGCACAAATCAGAGAGAGAGAGAGAGAGAGAGAGAGAGAGAGAGAGAGAGAGAGAGAGAGAGAGGAGGGGGGAGAAAGACAGAGATAGAAACAGAGACAGAGAGAGAGCAACAGAAAGAGCTAAAAGTAGCATAGTGTTTACTCTCCAAAGTCCACACTGCCAGTGACGTACTTCCTCCAGCAAAGCCACACCTCTTAAACTCCCCCAAACAGTGGCACCAACTGGGGACCAAGTGTTCATATGCCCGAGACTATGGCAGACATTTCTCACATGGCTTGGGGTGTCCCAGGGCAAGTTACATAGGAAGCTTGTCTCTCACAGTCCTCACGCTCTTCATTCTGCCAGGATCCCTGTTTATGAACCTTAGTGGCTGAACTCGAATCTCAGTTTAGAGTCCGCGCCACACTTGCCCATCCCCTTGACTGCCTCTGTAGCGCTGCTGAACCGAATGGCCATTTCCCCCACAGCTTTGTGCAGTGAGGTGGCCTCTGCCATCAGATTCAAATTAAACCCCTAACACTCTGCTCAGAAGTGATAGATGCGCTCCCAGGAGCCATCTCTTTTCCAAACCACATTTCCTGGTGCTCGAATACGGGAGCCAGAGGGAAGTGAGTGATACCCTGCAGAATATGAAGCAAATCCAATTTCCTCTTGACCTTGTCCCTTTGTGGATTCTATTTCTCTTGTTTTATTTCTGTTTCTTTATTGCCAAAGCTTTCTTTCTCAGGCAGCGTGTTTCTAAGTTCCCTCTTTCCCTCTCCCTCCCTCCTTCCCTCCCTCTCTTTGTCTCTCTCTCTGTCTCTGTCTCTCTGTCTCTCTCTCTGTGTGAGTGTGAGTGTGTGGGGGGTTAGATATTGGGGAGAGAGTTCTGGAACAACATAGCCCTTTAGGCAGTTTCTTTTTGTTATTTAGTGGAAGATTCTTGGCAGACATTTTCAAAATTGGTTATGGGCACATAGTGAGTAGAGTAGGGGGAAAGGTGTGTGTAGATGCGATGGTGGCATGAATTCTCTCTCCCTCAGTTCCCTCCCCAGCAGTCCTGGAGTGCTTAGGAGGGAGAATTGCTCCAAAGCATATCCGTGGATGGAAGGCAGCATGGAGGCTGCTCTCCTCCCTGGTGTTAGCTTGATTTCCAGCTCCCCTCAGCCCCCCACTTCCCCACCACCCCAACAGGGAGCATCTCACACCCTTCGTGTTGGTACCACAGCTGGAGGCACCTGCCCTGACTCCATTACAGTTTGCAGAGCAGAGATGAGGACTATCAGCTAGCTGGTTGAAGTGGCGGGCGACATGGGAGGCAGGAATGTAATTACCTGGGCTGGAATCAGACCGAGCCACAGGGGCTTGCCTCACCTTCCCCAGTCTCCTCTCGAGCTCATTACTTGGCAGTGTGTCCCCAAAGCAATTCTGAGATAACACAAGAAGTCAGATATTGTTTCCTGAGCTGGCAAAGGGGTAGGTGGCAATGTGGCGGATGGACAGGGTGTGGCGGATGGACAGGGTGTGGCGGATGGACAGGGTGTGGCGGATGGGCAGGGTGTGCCATGTTTCAAGCCTGTGTCAGATGCCTGAAGCACAGTTGGAAGAGTTGTGCCCATTAGGGAGGAAACTGCAGCACACACAGCCCAGGTGAGATGGGACAGGAGGCCATGGGGCTCAGCCTCCTGCGTCCTGTTTCCTGAGGCCTCTCTAGATCAGAGTCACTCCATGTACTGGCCAGTTTTGTGTGTCAACTTGACACAAGCTAGAGTCATCAGAGAAGAAGGAGCCTCATTTAAGGAAATGCCTCCATGAGATCCAGCTGTAAGGCATTTTCTCAATTAGTGATCAATGGGGGAAGGCCCAGCCCAACGTGGGTGGTGCCATCCCCAGGCTGGTGGTCCTGGGTTCTATAAGAAAGCAGGCTGAGCAAGCCATGGAGAACAAGCCAGTAAGCAGCACTCCTCCATGGCCTCTGCATGAGCTCCTGCCTCCAGGTTCCTGCCCTGTTTGAGTTCCTGTCCTGACCTCCTTTATCGATGGACAGTGATGTGGAAGTATAAACCAATTAAACCCTTTCTTCCCTAATTTGCTTTTTGGTCATGGTGTTTCGTCACAGCAATAGAAACCCTAACTAAGACAGTCCAAGAGGAGAGTGGCAGAATCTCCCTAACCTGAGCTTGAAGAGAACTCTCCAAGTCCACTTTCCACCAAGTCAGGGTGATTCTTAATGATATGCCATTGCTGTCACACTGTGGGTTGGCATGCAGACTGGCACCCCACCCAGCGTGCACCTGGACCCTGACCCACAGCTCAGGCAAGAGAGTAGTAGCCTAGGAGCTCCCTCATTCTGTCTGCAAGGGAACAAAACAAGTCCAGGACAGGGCGTTCACTTGGGATGCAGCCGTTTATCCAAGTGCTCATGCCACACCCTAGCCACGATGGAGTGAAGCAAGTCGGGTCACATGACCATTTGTCCCATGGTTTATTCTTCCTGGAACCACAAGGAAAAAGTGAGAGAAGGCATTTGGGGGTTGGGACTGTCCTAAGTCCCACCAGAACAATGGAGGATGGCCTTTTGTCTTAGAGTTACTGTTGCTGTAATGAAACACCGTGACCAAAAGCAAGTTGGGGAGGAAAGGGTTTATTTGGCTTATACTTCCATATCGATATCGCTGTTCATCATCAAAGGAAGTCGGGACAGGAACTCAAGCCGTGCAGGCACCTGATGTAGGAGCTGAGCAGAGGCCATGGAGGGGTGCTGCTTACTGGCTTGCTGCCCTGGCTTGCTCAGTGTGCTTTCTTACAGAACCCAGGACCACCAAGCCCAGGGGTGGCACCACCCACAATGGGCTCGGCCCTCCCTCATCAATCACTAATTAAGAAAATGCCTTACAGGCTTGCCTACAACCCTATCTTATGGAGACATTTTCTCAGTCGAGTTTCCCTCCTCTCAGATGACTCTAGCCTGTGTCAAGTTGACATAAAATTATCCAGCCCACCTGTCTGTAGTGCTCTAGTGGAAGGTGACTAGACTCAGTGAATGCCAGGCCCCTGGAAGGTACTCTGAGTGCAGAAGACCAGAGAAATGGGCTTCAGTCTTATGACTTGAACTCTCGAGTCTTACACATACCCCCACCTCATAAACTTAAGTGAGAAGAGAGGAATGTATGTGTATGTCTCCATTCTTTCTCTCCAGATGAGCCTTAAAGCCAACCTGCACAGTTGTTTCCCAGAGTATTGTCCCAGGATGTCCCCCACATACCCAAACCCACACCTGCTCAAATCCCTTGCATAAAATACAGTGCTGTTTGCCCGGAACCTATACATGTCCTCCTCTGTACTTTAAGCCTAACAGGATGCATCCATGTAAACTCAGCATAGGTGCATGGAGATTCCTATTTCACCCTTTGGAACTTTCTGGGAAGTTTTGCCCCGATAATTTGGAATCTATGTTGATTGAATCAAAGGCATTCGAGGGCTCGGAGGACTGGCTGTGTTACTGGAGACTGCCTGGGTGTTCTGAGCAAGGGTGACGCTTTGTGTTTCTTGCTATAGGTTCCAAGTGTCGATCACCAGGTGGCTGACTCCAGTTCCGGGGATCCAAACACTGCTGCTGACTTCAGCACACCAGGTAACCGGACCTCTCTGTTTGAAGCACTGCTTGTGTGTTTCCCAAGGATGTCTCTCTTCTCCTGTTTCCTTGCCCCGCATTACCCGCCTCCTGCTCCCTCCTCTCTACCTGTAGCGTGGCGCTTCGGCCACAGCATTCTTCCCTAACCTAGGTCCAGTAAGTTGTGTCCCCAGGAGAGCTCACACTTCCTCTGGGATGTTTTGTTGACTCTGCCCTCAGGGTCCTTTCTCCTTCACTTGAGTATGTGAATTTGAAGAAAAAGTACCTTCAGCTTGAGATCCACTCTTTTAGGAACAAAGAGGAATGTTTAGATAGTCCCTGGCTCTCAATGATTTGACTCAGGCTTTTCTTTTTTATTATTATTTTATGGTGGTAGAAAAGTAATGTGCTATTCGGTAGAAACTGCTTTCAGCTCTGGGATTTTATATTTTCAGTAAACGGTATGACTGATCAGCACACTTCTATAAAAGGGACTTTGCATTAGGCAGCTGTGCATAACCGTAGGCTGCTGTGTGTGTTCTAAGCATGTTCACAACAGGTGAGGCTGAGCTGTGATGCTCAGGAGGTTTAGTACATACATGTGTTTCCACTTAGAAAGGTCTCAACCTGATGAGGTTCTAGGATGTGACTTCAGTATTCACTCACGAACATCTGTCCCAGGCTACTGTGACTGTCCTCCTCCCTCAGCAGGAGGCAAGCTGGACTAAGGCTTCCAAGGACAAGGCTGGGCAGAGGATAAACCGCAAGTCATGAACTTGACAGCTCTGAAAGACAAATATGAAAGACCAGATTCCCGAGCACACTGGAACCTCCATGGCACTGATCTGGGGTGCAGGAGGGGTATTAGATGAGCAGATGTACCTCGGCATCAAAGGCAAAGGAGAGGACATGGGTTCAGAGAATTTCTTGGGGACTCCATCTAGACTCATAGGGACAGCTTATTTGGAGAGCAAAGTCATATAACTCATGGCATCCCGTAACTAACCACAATTAATTCTTGCTTCCAACAAAGAGTTGACATCTAAGAGGAGCAGGAAGAAGCCATCGTTTAGAGAGGGCCCCTCTGTGTTGCAAGGAACCCCAAGTCTCTGCAGACATGGGATTCAGAAGTGATCATGTCCCTCCCTAGGCTACTTCAAGGGGCCATCAGAAGTTTCCCTAGAGTCTGGTGGAGTGGTTAGAAGGTGATATCATACCACTTTGCTGCATTCCTGGGTTTTGCCCCACAGCTCCCAACCTTGAGATGCCTACACATTACAAGTTCCTGGAAATCATGGTTGAAAAGGTTCACAAGGTAGCTGGGACCTTCTCTGGCTATTACGTAAGAGTGGGTGGAATTGGACAGAGGAATCTGGGTACTCCTTGCCCAGGACCTGATCAGTGAGCTCTGGAGCTGGCCCTAAGACCAAAGGGTACTTCCAGCACCCAGTCTTCTAGAAATGATGCCAACTACAAGGGACTCCAGATTGTACTAGTTAATACCTTAGAGGTCTGCAGGCCAGCAGACTTATCTGCTTAAAAGATACCTCTGCTGTACCACAATGAGGTTGGGTTAGGTCTCTTTTCTGTTTTTTTTTTTCTTATATGTCCAGTTGCTCCAGCCCATTTTTCCTCTTGCACTTTAATAAAAAAATACATGTTAGAAAAAGGTGAAGATGTACCTCAGTCATAGAGAACTTGCCTGTCATATGTGAGGCCATGGGTTCAACTCCCAATACTGGAAAAAAAATAAACAATTCAGTTGGACATAATTATGTGGATCTGTCTCTAGGCCCTCTATTCTGTCCCCTTAATCTGTGTGCTGCTCTCCCAGTGCCATGCTATCCATGACAGCAGCCATTGAGTGGGCTGAAAAATCTGGAAGAGTATCATTCCCACGTCATTCATTAATGCATGATGGTTCAGTCCTGGGGTCTATGATTTTCCATATGCATTTTGGAATGAGTCATCTCTATCTTCATAAGCCATTGCTGGGATTCTGTAAGAACCACATCAAACCCATAGAACAATGTGGAGAGACTCTGCTCACCTACAACTACACATTCCAGTCCATGGATTCAGTCCCCTTCCCTGGACCACACTCTGGTTTCCTTCAACTTGACTTGATAATGTCTAACCTCTAGATGCTACCGTCCACAGTTCGTTAGGTGCACACTCATCCCTTGATATCTATGGGGGACAGGTTTCAGGACCCTTGTCAGATGCTCAAACCCAAAGATATATGATTTGAGTCCCTTATATAAGATGACAAAATACTTTATGTAACTCATGCATGTCCTCCAGTATACTTTAAAATAAGTCACCTCTAGAGTATGAGTCAATGTTTTGGTTTGGTTTGGTTTGGTTTGGTTTTTAGTTTTTCAAGACAGGTTCTCTCTTGCTTTGTATAGCTAGAGAAGTAGTTGAGAGTCCTACATTTTGCAGGCAACAGGAAGTTGACTGAGACACTGGGCAGTATCCTGAGCACAGGAAACCTTAAAGCCTGCCCCAACAGTGACATACTTCCTCCAACAAGGCCATACCCACTCTAACAAGCCACACTTCAAAATAGTGCCACTCTCTATCAGATAATGGGGGCCAATTACATCCAAACTACCACATTCCAACCCCTGGCCCCCATAAGCTTGTAACAAATATCATAATGCAAAATTCATTTAGTTCAACTTCAAAAGTCCGTATAGTCTATCACAGTCTCAACAATGTTTTAAAGTCCAAAGTTCAAAGTCTCTTCTGAAATTCATGCAATCTCTTAACTGCTATCACCTGTAAAAATCAAAATCAAAAAGCAGATTACATACTTCCAACATATAATGTCACAGTATATACATTACCATTGCAAAATGCAGGAAAGGAAGCATAGTGAGGAAATACTGGACCAAAGCAAGACCAAAAACCAGCTGTGCGAACTCCAAACTCTGCATCTCCATGTCAGATGTCAAAATGCTCCAGATCTCCAACTCCTTTCAGCTCTGTTGAGTGCAGCACACTTGATTCTCTTGAGCTGGTTCCACTCCCTGTTAGCAGCTCTCTTTGGCAGGGATCCAAGAACTCTGGTATCTCTAACTTACTGGGTTCTCCAAGGTAACCCAGGCTTCAGTTTTACAGCTTCATGCAATGGCCTCTCTAGTCTCCATTCAGGAACATCCCTGACACATGCCTGGCCTTGCTGGCTTTCCTTAGGCATGGAGAAAAATTCCATTACCCATTTCTTCTATCCTTAATTCTAAAGCCAGAACCATGTGACTAAAGTTGCCAAGTTCTGCTGCTTGCTGAGGCTGGAACATGGCCCCCTTATTCAATTTCATCTTCACCAACCTTCTCTTTCTGATTTTCACTGCCTAAGCTTGGCTATCCTGAAACTGGATCTGTAGATCAGGCTGTCCTCAAACTCAGTGATCTACAACCTCTGCCTTCCGAGTGCTGGGATTAAAGGTGTGCACCACCACACCCAACTATAAAATTTTCTTTGATTCCTTTTCACAAGTTGGAAATCTAGCTAGGTGGAATCTTGCCCTGAGGTCAATACTCCCTTTATTCCATTTCTTAACCTGTTTATCTCCTTAAACACAGAACTCACTCCAGTCCACTTTCTGGTGCTCTTTTTCTCCAGAATTATTATTCCTTGTTCAGCTTGCTCCTTTTCATTATATATCTTCATTAGAGTTAACACTAGTAACCACAAAACAGAGTCTATGCTAGGATGTTTTGAGATTTCCTCTGCCAATGGAATTAGTCCCAAACCCTTCATTTTAGCCTCAGGCAGACTCTTTGGACAAGGGCAAAAAGAAGTCATTTTTTTTTTTCACCAAAATTTAACAAGACCAGTCTTTAGGCCACAGACTAACATTCTTCTCCTCTGAAACCTCTTGATCCCCACAGCTCATCAGATCACATTCAGCACTGTCGTCCATGTTCCTACTAGTTTGGCCTATTAAGTGGTGCTTAAAGCATTCCACTGCTTTCCTAACCCAAACTCTCAAAGTCCATATTACTCCATAGAAAAACATGGTCAGGCCTATCACAGCAACACCCTAGTCCCTGGTACCAACTTCTATCTTCGTTAGGGTTTCTATTGCTGTGACGAGACACCATCACTATGGAAACTCTTATAAAGGAAAACATTTCATTGAAGTGGTAGCTTACAGTTAAGAGATTCAGTCCTTTATCATCATGGCAGGGAACATGGCAGCATGAAGGTAGATGTGGTACTGGAGGAGTAGCTGAGAGTCCTACATCTTGCAACAGGAAGTAGACTGAGACACTGGGCAGTATCCTGAGCACAGGAAACCTCAAAGCCCACCCCCACAGTGACACACTTCCTCCAACAAGGCCAAACCCACTCCAACAAAGCCACACCTCCTAATAGCACCACTCCCTATGAGATTATGGGGGCCATTTACATTCAAACCACCACATTTAGCATAGACACAAAAGTTTGCAAAAGCACAGTTGGTTGAATGGATGGATGCAGAACTCATGCACACAGAGGGTCAACTGCACGCCTTGGGATTTCATTCTCTTTGCTCAGGAACAGTATTGCATTTGGGATTTTCAGGTCCCCTTGGTCATTGTTACTGAGTGTGATGGACCATGCCATAGAGATGTGATTCACTTTTACGTTGATCTTGTCCCTTGTTACCATGCTGAACTTGCTTTTTAGTGTTACCATTCTTCATAGATTCTAGTTGCTTTTAAACTATCATGAATAATAATGTAGGTTTGGACATGGGCAAGACCACAGGGGAGCTACAACCCAGAATTTTGACTGGCATCTCATAAACCATCCTGTCATTTTAGGGTTCTTTATCTAGAAGCCATGTTTATATTGTTAGTTGGAGTAATCTCCAATTCTGGAAGTGCCCTGGGGTCTAACATAAGGAAAGCAACTTTAAAAGTGAAGGTGTTTTCACTCTTCGTCATAGTGAAAACCTGGGGGAACAGTGAAGTCCATTAATGAGAGCCATAAGAAACATGTGTCGCATGCTAGATCTACATTTCTACATTAATTAGGAAAACTAATTTTTTTTTATGAAAAATTGCAAGTCCATTAGGACCGTAACTGTCATGAAAACAGGCATGCAGCATTACCCCAGTGACAGTGAGAAAAAACAGTCACCAGTCTTGGGCTGGGAGCTTTTTCAGTAGCTTCTGTAATTTTGTGTTTCCAGTAATTACATATATATAATTCAGAGCGAAGTCATCCTTGCCTATCTGTGACTGGGTTGTGTTAGCACTGGCAGTAAGAACATCGGATCAAGAAGGGTTAGGAGGCATAAATCGAAGCTGTTTAAACTATGGTTTGGGATGTTGGGCTAGAGAGACGGCTCAGCAGTTAAGGACACATACTGCTCATGCAGAGGACCCATGTTCAGTTCCAGCAACCACATCGGACAGCACATAAGCACCACTCCAGCTCTAGGGGGATCCCATGCCTCTGGCCTCTGTGGGTACCTGTCCTCAAATGTAGAGTCCTCTCCGCTGCAGACTTAAATACTTTCCAAAAATGTGAAATAAATACATACTTAAATCTTTTCCAAAGGGTTAAATAGATGTATACATATGAGCAGTACTAGTATTTGATGCTAGTGTGTGCATATGTATGTATGTATGTATGTATGCATGTACATATATAGGGTATGTATGTATGTATGTATGTATGTATATGTGTATTTATTTGGGAGCAGTACTGGTATTTGATGCAGGGCCTTGCACATTCTAGGCAAGCATTCTACAATGATCTATACCCTTAGTGCTCTCTTTACTTCTTATTTTAAGGCAAGTTTTCACTAAGTTGCCTAGGATGAGCTGGAAAAATATTCTGTATGTAGTCCAGACAGGCCTTGAACACTGGTCTTTCTTCCTCAAGCCTCTTGTGTAGCAGGGATGACAGGCCTGCTCCACACAGCTCAGCTTGTCTGAGATGATCTCAGCACACCACTGTGTAGGCCTGCTCCACACAGCTCAGCTTGTCTGAGATGATCTCAGCACACCACTGTGTAGGCCTGCTCCACACAGCTCAGTTTACCTGAGATGATCTCGGCACACCACTGTGTAGGCCTGCTCCACACAGCTCAGCTTACCTGAGATGATCTCGGCACACCGCTGTGTAGGCCTGCTCCACACAGCTCAGCTTGTCTGAGATGATCTCGGCACACCGCTGTGTAGGCCTGCTCCACACAGCTCAGCTTGTCTGAGATGATCTCGGCACACCGCTGTGTAGGCCTGCTCCACACAGCTCAGCTTGTCTGAGATGATCTCGGCACACCACTGTGTAGGCCTGCTCCACACAGCTCAGCTTACCTGAGATGATATTGGTACACCACTGTGTAGGCCTGCTCCACACAGCTCAGCTTGTCTGAGATGATCTCGGCACACCACTGAGTAGTTCCCTAGGGAGTAACTAGCAGAGGTTGGCTGGGGTTAACAAATGCCGTTCCTGTCTTTGAAGTTCTCTGGTATAGTCAATTATTGCTTCTTTTTTACACAACCTCTTCATCTCTGAGCAGTTGTCAAATTATGTCCAGTAATAAACTCCTGGGAGCAATTGCTGAGTCCAAGGGAGCCTGTGTTGTAAGTGTTAATAGAGCGGCCAAATTGCATTATGGAAAAGTTACACAAGCAAGTGAGAGGCAGGGCGCCGTCACTCCTGCCGGCTTCTCTCCCCCTCCAAGGGAACAACCGCTCCCAGCCTTGGGTTTGAGCAACTTTTTTACAGGTCTGTTGTCCATGTGTGTGTCTGGATTTGACTCACTTCTTTCATTTGAAGTGTTTTTTTTTTTTTTTAGAAGATATTTTTGGAGTAGATTCATAAGAAAAGTGCTTATTAAATCAAGTCACGAGAAAATGTATGAGGCCTTGCAAGACCTTCCTAGGACTGGTCCCTGCTTTGCTTCTGCTTTGGCGGCAGCACCATGTTCTTTATGCAAGCATACAACTTAAAAAAAAATGTATTGATTCTCATACAGTACATCCCAACTGCAACTTCCCCTCCCTTTACTCCTCCTACCCACCCCCATATCTACCTCCCCTCCCCTGCCTCCTCCCAGAAAAGAGCAGGCCTCTCAGGGACATCAACCTAATAAGGCACAAAAGGTACAGTAAGACTAGCCACAAACCCTCACATCAAGACTGGGTGACTCAACCCAGCAGGAGGAAAAGGGTCCCAAAGCAGGCAAGAGTGAGAGACACCTCTCACTCGCACTGCCAGGAGGCCCCTCAGAACACCAAGACAATAACCATAACGTATAAGCAGAGTACCTAGTGCAGACCCATCCGGGCGCCGCAATTTCCATTCCGGTCTCTGTGAGCCCCCAGGAACCCTGCTTAGTTGATTCCCTGGGTCACAGCACACAACTCTTTATTGTCAGGTTTCTTTCTCCCCTTTACAGTTTCTATCCTGCCCGTGAAGTCTCTGCTCCAAGCTGCAGATGTACTGTTACAGGTTTTCTTCTGCTCATTTTACACCCTCCAGAAAGAAGGGTTCATCTCCCTAGAGATTGGAGTGTTTGTTTGTATACAATGTATGTGGTAGCATTTATGTTTTCCAAATGGGCCATTCATTGTCACCCACTGTTTATGGAGGGGTAGCAAGAATGCTTTAGAATCTTCCTTGGGCTGCTTCAGGAGTAGGCAGTGAGTACTGAGTGGTAGGTGGTCTGGGGCAAGCTCATGGGCACAGGGGAGCATGGGGCGCTGACCGGGCCCTGTGGAAAGAGAAGGAAGGAGCAAAGCTTGAAGCTTCCCACCACTGATGGAAATCAGGCTGCTGTGATGGAACAAGTGTACCTCGAGCAGGTTATCACCTTGCAGTGTCTGCCCCTGGATGGAGCCGGTAGGCTGTTGGTAATTCCAGTAGAGTGAAGGAAGAGTCTACCCATCGGGGCTTAATGTTCATGTGTTAAACAGTGTCTTGTGCAATCCCTAGGCTTCTGGCCTGAGTGGTTAAGAAGCTCCGACATGGCCAGCCTCACTGGTCCACCGTGGTGGTGCTCACAATTTCGTGCTTATCCAAGTCCAGCTGAGGTTTGAGTGGCCAGGCTACACCTGATCCTGCCCCCACTTCAATGTGTGCCGAATCAGAGCCCATCCCTCAGCTACACCCTCAACCCTGGGTTCATTTCTGATTGTTCCCAGGTGAGGTTGATGCTGCTGCCCAGGGCCTACTCTGGCAGCCAAGGCAAGCATCATGTGGGCTATGTCTGTCCTACATATCTCATCTAGGGGCTGCAGGCCAGGTATGGGGTTGCACTTCCTGCCTGTCCTGGTGTCCTTCAGAGTCTGTGTTCTTTCTTTTTTTTTTTTGGTTTTTCGAGACAGGGTTTCTCTGTGTAGCTTTGCGCCTTTCCTGGAACTCGCTTTGGAGACCAGGCTGGCCTCGAACTCACAGAGATCCGCCTGGCTCTGCCTCCCGAGTGCTGGGATTAAAGGCGTGTGCCACCACCGCCCGGCCCGTGTTCTTTCTTGTATGAGTCCTGATCTACAAGCAGCAGCTTGGTGATCAAAGCAGCTGAGTGTTGACTTTAGCCTCTCTGGGAGTGGGAGGGGCCTGAGCTCCCCCACCCTCCCCCTGGCGTAATTCCTGGGAGGCTGTCTGCTTTCCCCCAGGCTTTTTATCCATGCAGCAGTGCTTGGTGACCTGTCTCAGCCTTGGCCTGCTTCTAACGGTGGAGTTCATGTAGGTTGGGTTTGGAGGGCAGACGGCTGGCTGTTTCTGCATTCGGGTGCCTTTGCAGCCACTCACCCTAATACCGTGCCCATTCTCTTGCAGTGCCTGCCAGTAGCACGAGTCTCCCAACATCAGAGGGTGCCACCTCACTGGGTCCGAGCCACCCATCCCCTGATGGCACCTTAGACACTCCACCACCCCTTCTGTCTACTCCAGTTCCTCACCATGTGTCTCCAGAAGCAACAAGCTTGAACACACAGGCACAACCGAGCCCAGGGCGTGTGGCCCGCTCGGCCAGCGACCCCACCTCCTGCACATCCAGTGAAGCAGGTATGGCTTGTATTCTCAGGGTGGACCCAACTTGTAAAGCAGGAAACCTCTGATAATTGAGGCCCAGCCTTGGATCCTGGGAAGGGTCATCCACACATTTGAGGGCCCTGAGCTGGGGTGGAGGGGTGGTAGTCTTAGGCCCTTGCTGTATTGCTAGGGAGGCATCCTTCTGGCAAGGGAGGAAGGATTCAAGAGTTGAGGGTAATGAGATTCCCTTTAGGTGGCCAGCACCTCGCCTGCATGAGCATGACGCTGAACTACATGCATGCTCTGAGGTCCAGGTCAGAGTAGGTGGCCGCAGGTAAAGACTGTGTGTAGGTGGTGTGTCCTCTAGCCTGAGTGTGTTCAGGGAGGGTCTTAGCTAGGGTTTCTATGGCTGTGAAGAGACACCATGACCACAGCAACACTTATAAAGGAAACAATTAATTGGAGCCAGCTTACAGTTTCAGAGGTTTGGTCCATTATCATCATGGTGGAAAGTATGGCAGTGGGCAGGCAGACATGGTGCTGGAGAAGGAGTTCTACAGCTGGATCCACAGGCAGTAAGGAGACTGTACCACACTGGGCATAGTTTGAGCACATAAGACCTCAAAGCCCACCCCCACAGTAACGCACTTCCCCCAACAAGGCCACACCTACAGGACCTCTGTGGCCAGCTGCCCAGGGATGCATATGCCATACCAGCTTCCTTGGGAGTCTTGCTTGTGTGCCTGAAGCTGGAGAATGGACACCTGAACCTTGATGTTATAGGGGAATAATTTCTGCCAGTAAGGACTGGCTGGTGGTCTTTGACTCTGCAGCACCGTGGGAACTTTTGTCTGATTGGATTTGAAAGAACTCTACAGAGGGCGGGTGTAGGGGTACCCACACCAGCCTCACTTCAGTGGCCTTGTGTGGCTGAACACCAAGCAGCCTAGAGTCTGGCCATGCCAAGGGAGAGCAGTCTTTGGAAGGAACCAAAAGAGTGACAGAAGCCAGCTACCTGGGAGCACCTTCCTGGTAGAAACATCAGATTTTGCACCTGTAGATTTGGGGTGCCACATTCCCCCACCCCTTGCACCTCCCATGGAGAAAGTTCAATCCAAACCTGGAATGCTGTCTTTGCTCCTTTACTTGACACCATACGGCTTCCCTTCCTTCCACCCCCAAGGGCAGCATGTGGGCTTCTGTGTCCACTTGCCCTCATGGAGCTTTGAGAGAGGCTCACATATGGTTGGAGGGGATCGGGTCCCTTCTCTGGCCTTCTGATAGCTTTCTTTGGCCTGTCCCTCTCGGTGGAATTCATGGTCTATGACAAACAGCCACAAGGATGGGGCAAGGGAGAGGTGGCTGCCTTTCCTACCCAAGGTCCACACAGCAGCCCGCTGCCTCAGCCTCCTCTTGGCCAGAGGAGACTGCCATTGCCCCACATGTGGAAGGCATGTGCCTTCTGCGTCCCTGGAGAGCCTCAGGATTGGAGGCTGTCCCCAGGCACCTGCTGGGCTCCTGTGGGACCCAGACCTGGAGAACTACAAAAGGCTTCCTTTTAGCTACACATCTGCCTAGCCCTAGGCAGCTGGTGAATTTTACCAGACCCCCGCCCCCCCCCCCCCCGCCGCCCCTTCCTGTGGGGACTGAATGTTCTTCTGGTTGAGGTACAGCCAGGAGCCTGGGATAGGACTGTCCTGGGCTGCTCTGGAGAGAAGTGAGGCACTCCTCAAACACTTTGACATCCACCTACCGTAGCGGGGAGGGTCATGACTAGTGGTCCTTTGCTGCCTCTGCATTCAGCTGCTCTAGCTCTCGACCTAGAATGTGAGTTCCTGACTCAAGGTCATTATATCAGAGCCTGTAACTCACAGCATACATATGCTTAACTTATGTACTTACATTTCATTTTGTTTTGAGACAGCATCTCATGAAGTAGCCCAGACTGACCTCAAACTCCTGTCTCAGTCCCAAAGTGCGAAGACTGGGGCCATTGCCCCCTGGCTTTGCCAGTTCTGCTAAGGGGGTCATTGGCCCTGCCTAAGAGGTTTATGCATCATCTTGTATTTAATTACTAAGCTTGCCTGCTACTATCCCCAGGACCCTAGAACAGACCACCCAGAATGTGTCTATTTTGGGTGACATGTTAAGCAAGCTGATTCTCAATATGATCCTTGGACGGTGGACCACATCTCCCGACCCAAAGATGCCCAGTTCTTGGAGGTCCCATTTACGCAGTGTTTGTCCTAATTCTGAGGTAGAGTGATATTTGTGACATCTGATGGAAGCCAGAGTCATTCCTCCAGGCCCAGCCTAGAGGACACTGGGGGAAGACCCTGGGGAGAGGCTGCTGCCTACACATGACATGGGGGAGGAAATTCACTGCCTTTCTGCCAGCTCTAGTCTTAAATCAGACTGTCTCTAGATGTTCCTACTCTGCCCCCAACAAGTCATCAGACCACAGAGGACAGAGGCCACGGAGCTGGAGGAGGCTGAGGAGAGCTCAGGAACCCCCCACAAGCCCTTCTCTTGGGCCCACCCCTCACTTCACCCCTCACCTCAATCCTGAGAGGTTAACACCAACTTCACCCCAGGCTGACAGGAAATAAAGTGATCCAGGAAGCTGGGTCACACTGGGGTGCCTTCTCTGAAATAAAACTGGCAGCACGCTTTTGTTCCTTTTTTTCTCCCCTAGAACTTTGGTTTGGTTTGGTTCACGGTTGTTTTCAAATTTCCTCTTTCACTTCGATTTTTAGTCTCGACATTGCGCCCAGCCATGGCTGCCTGTCAGCACCAGCTCTCATCTGCTGGCAACCCAGACACCTGGAAAACGGACCAAGGGACCAAGCCAGAGACCGTACAGACCGTCTCCAAAGAGCGGCCGCACTCCTTAGTGGAGAGCAAGGTCTACACAGACACCAGGGTTTTGGTGGCTAAGTTTTTGGAACACTCACACTGCACCCTCCCCTCGGAGGTGCGACACGTGGTGGGCACCATCCGCTCAGCAGTCCCCTCGGAGGAGCCCAGGGTGGAAGAGGCCATCTTTGGTGCTGGCGTCCTGGACCAGCTATGAAGCAGCTATAGACCTGGATGTGGACACTGATGGGCCCAGTGCCTGCAAGATCCAGTCCTGCATGACACCACTGTGCTTGATAGAGAGAGGCCTTTGGCCTGCTGGGCAGAGAACAAGCAGAAATACCCCGGCGAGGCTCTCTGGTGGCCCGGGCAGGGAACTGTTACTCATTCTCCCATCAGTTGTCTTCCTGGGGACTGTTTGTCCCCTGTCCCACTAACTCAGAGATATTTCTCTCCTGCCCTTAGCAAGCTCTGGTTGCTTCAGGGGTATAGCACCTTGAACTGAAGAATGTGACAGGAATACCTATCCAGGGACAGGTGACACTTGTGGAACGTAAGGACATTGCATCTGTTCCAAGACAACCTTTAACACAACTGGGCCCAGCTTAGATCAGTGTTACTTGAGTGGAGGGTGGCGGCGGCAGCAGCAGCGGAGCCATTTGCCATGTGGCCGGTGTCACTCTGCAATGAAACCTTTATAAAATCCAGACCTATTATTTCCTTTCAAAGGAAATAGGCAATGTTAGCACAGCCTGGGCCCGCCCTTTTGCCCACCGGGCTATCATGCATATGAAACTACAATGAAAACTCTTCCTAGGCACCCTTAGAAAACAAGTAGGTGTCATAAAGGTTTGAAATGCCTGCCTCCTTGTATCCTGGGGCCCCCCACTAGGCCTCTGTCTGTGGGCTGCTAAACCCACCTCCTTTCCTGGTCTCCTCCCCATGGCCTCCCATCCTTTTAACCACAGCAAATAATTATTTCTTAACAATATGCTCCTCTCCCCATCCCCTGGAGGGCTTTCCCTTGGATGTGATGTCACCCAATTGGGCTGGGAAGGCCAGAGTCTGAGCTAAGAAGCCCTTGTCTCTGTTATGTGTGCATCTTTGGCTAAGGCATGCCTTTCATGACCCAGAGTTGTCCCTCCTCGACTCAGGTGGCGGCAGGCACACCTGTGTTGAAGGATACAGATGGTCAGCCACTTATTTCTGGGAGAATGCCAGTAGCGAATGTGCCGAAGCAAAGCAAGACCTGCGTGGGCACAACCAGGGTGGCTTTGGGCAAAATGGCCACCCCAGGCTTTCTTGGCTGTTCAGACGTCATTTTCTGGCAAGATCAACAGCAACCACTTCTCAGCAACGGGGCCGGAGCAACCTGTCTGCAAGAACTTCCTGCAAAAAGTGGAAACGCCCATATCTGGTTCATCCAGAGCAGCAGCTACAAGCACGTGAGATCACTGTACCCCAACGAGCCTATGGGCCTCAGTATCAGTGGCACAGAAGCCCTGAGTCTATGGGAAGTGCCCGGGTGGACTGGAGTGTGACCACTATTGTTCAGTGTCCAGCTGGCAGGCTTATGCAGCTCTTTCCTCTATTCTGCCTGCCATGGCCTGTCCTTCGGCCTCTACTCCCCTGTTCCAGCCCCCCAATTCCCTGTAGCCAATATGCTGAGGCCCTTCATGTGTTTGGAAGCTGTGGGGCTTCAGCCCACATGGCTTGGGAAACACCCAGTGGTGGTGGTCAGCTATCCATGCTCTGGTGACTTTACCGTTGCCATAGCTGTTGCCTTCCTGAGGTTAGGGAGCTGAAAAATATAAATCAGGCATTTGATGGCAACCTTGCCTTTTCCACAGGAGACGTAATAGAGATGAGTTTTTGAGCACTTTATTCAGACTATAAAATCCTCTAATTTTTCTCAAGTGAGGACTTTGTCAAATCTCTTCCAGGTAGAATGGCCTCCCCTGAGCCTATCAGCTTGAAAAACCTCCATAGCCTGGGCTTGGGTGTGTGACGTTTTCATCGCCTCAGAGATGAAGCGAGGCAGCTGCAGGTGTCTCGTGATTGGAGGACCCATGCAGCAGTGTAAACACCTGTGGACTTCAGAACAAGCTGAGATCCAAGAGAGGCCAGGACCCGCCCCATCCCAACTGACCCAAGCTCTAGGGTATTTTCATAGTGTAGCCAGGGTGAACAGTTTCTGGACACAGTGCGGGACTCTGTGGCCTTCATGCTGCCTTTTTTGCAGCAGGCCCTCGTCTGTCACGTGGCACTCTTGCCTCAACCTGCACCTCCCCCAGCTGCAGGCTACCACCACCACCTGGAAGCCCTGAGTCCCAGACAGTCTCAAGAAAGGGGTATGTATAAACCATCCTGGCTAGGTTATGAGATGGCTTTATCTTAAGGATAAAGAAACCACAGGACTTCATGCTCCTGGGTGGATGAGAACTCCTGGCTCCCAGAGCAAGGCTGTTAGATGACAGATCAATCCCCATTCACCTTCACAGGGCCCCAGATGGCCCACATGAGCACTAGAAATGCCCAGGGTCCAGGTTTCCAGGAAGTCAGAGGTATTGGATATAGCCGCTAGATGGCATTCTTGCAATTTGACTTGTCTCTTCTGGGTCCCTCGGCTCTGCCTCAGTGGTGACCTAGTACTGGGAACCCCAGGCAATATGTGGGTTCCCTGAAGCCAAAACCGCCATCCTCCACATTGCTTGCACATCCTTCCACCTTGGAAGCTTTGCCCGTGCTTTTTTTTTTTTTTTTCCCTGATATCTGAACTGGGCTCACCAGTGATCATTTGGGAGGGGATGCTCTCACTCCAGGCTGACCAGGTCTCGGCCACCCCCCCAAAAAAAGGCCAGCATCTTCTAGGACATCCTTCTCATGTCTGCCTGGAGGCAGGAAGATGCTGATGCGAACCCACTGTGGGTACCAACTCTACTTTGGGGAAGGCAAGGGGCAGGAGTCTCCATCACAAGGACAAAGGTCTCCTTCTCAGGGAGGCCATAACCAAATGAAATGCTTGCAGTCAACCCTGGAATGGAAAGCTCACTTCGGATATTCTTTCCCCCTTCTGCTCTAGCAGCTCACAGATGCTGCTGAAGCAGAATTTATAGGAAATTGTTTTCAGGCCACCAGAGAGTTGTTTGTACAACTTGAAAGGTTGTATTTATTTAATGTACCTCAAGGTGTTTTAATAATGATCAGTGTTTTAATAAAAAGTATTTCTGGTCGCTGAGGTCTAACTGGGACGGAGAGGGTCCTGGAGGGACTGGATTTGGGGGAGCAAGAGGCCACCATGGCTGCCCACCAAAAACTCAGTGCCAGGGGCTGAGGTGAAAAGGCAGTCCCCTATACCTACAGTCCAAACCACAGCTGCCCCTCTGTGGACTTGACATTCAAGGGTACCTGAATTCCAAAGTCTCCCATTTAAGGTCCTGAACTATGAGTACAGGGGCTGGGAGATGGCTTGGTGGGTAAGGAGCTCATTGGGCAATCGTGAGGCCCTGAATTTGGATTCTTAGATGGAAGGGAGGTGCATACTGTAGCCCCAGTGCTGGGATGTGCAGACAGGCAGATCCAGGAGTCCGCCTGCCGTCCAGCCAAGCAATCTCCAGGCTCTGTAACAGACTCTCAAAAGATAAGGTGTGACAGTGGACGATACTCCGCATGTGCACAGACAGTCACGTGCCTGCACACAGGTGAAAACACATGCACACACCACACCCACCATGCCCTCATATCATCTCTAACTGCATCTTCTGTCTGGAGCTGGACACATGCTTGTCCAGGACGCATGGGGGCATTCCACTGCGAGGGCAGCAGGTACCAGCTCCTCTGTTCTCTAGCTTTCACCCCAGGGACTGTTCTTTTCATTCTGCAAGAAGGCATGCCATCTAGATAGCAGTCTATGAATCTTGGCACAGGGACACATTGTCCTCAGTTCTTCTGTCTTTGGGGAGTGAGGAGACAGACCCAGAGACCTTTGTGCTGCATTTCTGATGACGTTTCCCACTGCAGTGTTTGGAGCCAGAGTGCCCGGGGAAAGGCTGTTCCTCACCTGCCTCTGACCGCCAGAAGTGAAGGGAGCACATGGCTCAGGCCCCTCAGGTGGTTCCCGCAGAACCATGAGCAATGACAGCACCTGACCAACGGCTCACGACAGCAGGGCATGCCCTGCTATGGCAGGTCAGACAGGAGAATCTGGCTCGCCAAGGTCTCCCACCCCAACCTCCTGAGGAAAAGCCCCAAGTTCACCCCATTCCCCACTCACGTCAGGTAGCAGCAGGCCTGTGGCCACTGACCAAGGTGCAGAAGGGCACAGGTGTTAATATTACACAGGTCGGGAGAAATGTCAGAGTGTGGGCCAACTTCCTTTCACATCCCCGCGTACGCGCCCTTCTCCTGAGGTAACAGGTCTGGAGCACCCTGTCTCCACCGCCCCCTTATTTAGTCCTCAACAGTCCACAGCCATGTCTCGTCCATGCAGCAGGTGACTAGGGACCCTGAAACTGACCTGGTGCCCTGACACCATCAGGGACACCTAGTGATGTTAGCCGCTGCCCTCTACTTCCCGTGTGAGAGCTGCTAAGCTTTCCAGACCGGAGCGGGGTGACGCTACCACAAGGCAGACTCACAGAGCCACTGTCCAAACTGTGGAGATGAGAGGCCCCCGGGGCCTGCTCAGCTGACAAACGAGGTACACAAGAGTGCTTTTCTGTCATGACTTCAGGTTTATTAGCGATATGCAGGAAGTCTTCCTAGGGTTAGCTGCATGCAACACACAGGTCACTCCTCGAGTACAGTAATCCTAAAGCTTTAGTTACTGTGTGATAAGGCTTCTTAAGTCACAGTGTATTCTTCAAGGCCTGAGCCAAAAAAAAAAAAAAGAGACTGCCAGACAAAATGATGTCAGTTTACATTGATCGCTAATGCGCCGAGCCGGCCACTGGGCTCCTTGCTCCACACACACTAACACTGCTCTGCACGGGATGGCCAAGCACCTCACTTGACAAGTAATTTGCACTCTCACTGGTCCCTTCAGGAAGGGTAGAGGTGGGGTTTTCTGGTGTGGGCTTGCTTTGTCGGGGACAGTGTGTGTGTGGCTACGTGTGCGTAGATTTTTTTTTTTTAAAAAAACAGGGACGTCTCCCATGCTTCTGCCTTTGTTCCTGGCAGGATGTTGCCCCCTAAAATAGGGAGCCCTGTGGTGGAGAAGTCAAAGTGAGGATGCCCAGGGAAATCCACAGGGTCTCAGGGGACTCAGGACAGGCGAGGACAGGAGAAGCAGCTGTGGTCACAGGGCGTCGGAAAACCCAGACGTCTGAAGAATGGCTTGCCAAGGTCAAAGTCCAAACAGTCATATTCGCTAAATAAATATGGAGTTGTGACATCGTGACCATCGTTTTTTTTTTATTTAACTCGGGAGTATCCCCTCGCTGCGTAAATACTTACAATCAATCACAGGTTCCCACACTCGGCACAAGTCTCATCCTGGGAGCCAGGTTGTCCCTGCTCCTGTGTAGATGGAGGCCAACGCCAGCAAGCAAGCCCTTTTAGGACCCCGCTGGACCCCAGGAGTCCCAGCCCAAGGGCAGAGATGGCTGCAGCTGTATCGCAGAGGGTTCCCTTCACAGCCGCGCACGCGGGGCAGGCACCACATTCACATTCCATAGCCTCAGGGAGGAAAAACACAGCACACCACACAGAACTACCTGTGAGCACCCTTCATCAGCCGCAATGAGAATGTGGCAGAGGATTGGTGAGTTTTACAAAGGACTGTCCTTCGACTCTCGCTTGGTAAAGACATACCTTTTTTTTTTTTTCCTTTTTCTTTTTGTGGCAAAACTCCAAAACAAAACTAAAAAAACCAAACAAGAAAACTAGGTGACGAGGACACACCCTCCAGGGGAGCCAGAGTTCTTGGTTGGGCTGTGGGGTCAGGGGTCAGGGCTTTGTCCTGGCTTCTGGCTCCTCTGGGCCCAGGTGGGTCTGCCTGGTGTCCCTGCTCCATGGCGAGGCTGGGTGTACCTAGATGTACAGAGGGGTCTCCTGGCCTGTGAGGAGTCTGAACATGGCCGCAGGCATGGTCTTCATGTGAATCTGTAAACAGAGAAGGAAGGCTGAGCTGCCCGCCACTTCTCAAGTGAAAATGAACAGCAGAGGCCCAGTCCCAGAGAGGCTCTCGGAGGGACCGGGCTGAGGTAGGTGGGTCCCTTCCTCTCCAGGGTGTCATCCACTGGGCAGCACTCTTTTCCTCCCAAGTCGACACCAGAAGAATGAAACATTAGGGCGACTACTGTCTGCCCACTGGAGGCAGGCACCCCACCCCAGAGCTGCTAGGAGCATGCTGTGCTTCTGTGACTGACACTGGATGACATGAGTTCTGGGGCTAGGAAAAGGCCAAAAGGGAGGGCAAGCTGTTCCACGACTCCATCCTGTGAGGATCAAGTAACAGATGGCTCTTAACAGCCCACTTGCCCTTGCTGGATCTCCATAGGCTAACCATGGGTTTGCTTCCGGGGCGGTGGGATGGAGGAAGACACTGAGCCCCTGAACGCAGAGAGCAGGCGAGCTTCATTTTCTCATTTTCCTCTCAACAGGGCCACACTCCCGGGCTTGGGTTATACTGTGCTCAGGCAGAGCCTGCCAGGGTCTCAGCTGCCTCCAGTCCGTTCTGCCCCAGGCAAGCAAGCCCTGGCTCTACTCTGCCCGGCTCATACAGGTGAATATCTGCAGATGGTTGCTGCGTTCATGTTTAAGCTCCTCCGCAGCCCAGGACAGCCTTTTCCTACCCCACCCACAATGAATGTGGGCTCATTCGCTTGTGACTCCACATGTGCTTGGGGTTGGTGGAAAACGCAGCAGACATTTTAATCTCCCAGCTGGGAGGGCACAGCCCCGACCCACAGGCTGGAGAGTCTGCCATCCTCCACCTGCTTTGCTACCTTCTTAGATATCCATTATTCTCAAGCCTGAGGAAGTAGAATCACTTCTTGGGGTCCCAGGCCCACTCCCCCACAGGATTGATTTCCTTAGGTGTGAGGCTGAGTGCTCCCATGAGGGCCGTCCTTTCTGAATGTCTACTTAGGAAAATTAGATTTTCTTTTCTTGGAAGCCATTAGTAAGAAGTAGCCAATGGCCCCTTCCTGTCTTCTCCTTGAGAGCCAGCCATCATTACTGCCCAGGGAATGTGCCTCTTCCCTGGCCGTGGTATTTCACAAGAGGCTGACTTTGTCAATGTGGCTCCAAGAGAGGTGATCTGAGGGACATTAACCAGGACACTCTGAGGAAGAGGCAACTCACACCCTTCCCTGCCCACGGCAAACGGGAGCCCTGACCATCTTTTACCTGCATGGTCACAAGGTGGCCACCAGAGGGAGTTTGGCAGACGGCCTGAACCTGCAGGGACCTTAGAATCCAACCAAACATCAGCTGGCACCCAACTCTCCCCACACTTCTCCTGCTCAGTGCTCACCCTCTGTGCTAGCACCCACACTTTCCCAGAGACCTTGGTCCCACTCACTGTGACTACCCTGCCACTCACACACTCACACCCACTCCCCCATACTCATGCATATTTGGACTCACCTGCACCCATTCTCATATTCAGATGTACACATCGTAAGCACATGCTTACCCCCAAAATTCACAAATGCATTCATACACACACACACACACACCCCTGCATTCATGCACACCCATTCTCCTACATTTATGCACACATCACAAACACAGCCTCACCCACAAATTCACATGCATCCACACCCACACTAACACCCACACTCATACAAACCTATGGTCATACTTCATCTGTCATCTGCCTCTACATGCACAGGTCACAAGCACACACCTTTCCCACAAACTCACAGATTCAATCACTCATTGCGTAAATACTAACACAAACACCTCACTTTTAACACATTCCCATACACATCCATGAACACATCAAAACACACTCTCACACCACAAACTCACATGCATTTGTACCGACATCCTTATACTCACTAGCACCCACACTCATACCTGTTCTCACAGACCTAGTCATATACAGCCATACAAAACACTCTTACCCAAACCTCCTATAAACACTAACATCCATACACCCATACCCTCACCTCAACTCCTCCCCACTACACATGCTCATGACACCTCTCTCATGCACATGCACGCACACGCGCGCGCACACACACACACACACACACACACACACACACACACACACACACACACA